AAATTACACTAGTATCTTCAGACTGCTTCTTCTAACGATGGCGAAGGAAGTTTAGCTGAAACTTCGGCTGTTATAATAAAAACTATCATCCGCCTGCTTCTTTGTGTCGAAAATCATTGAAGCGTCAATTTATTGGAGAAGAATATATGAAACTGAAATAAATTTCAAGATAGCTGTATATTTCTTATCAAGGTTATCCATTTGAACAGTTTACTTAAGGACGGTAGTGATATCAGCGACACTGGCACTTTGCCAACCTTTTTTAATCAAACACTGGTTGCTGCTTCGTAGTGAGAAAAACTTCTCCGAAAACAGATCGGCATCTACACGATTGCATGTGGGTCTCTACATGCACCCATGCAGGTCGATGTCTACCCTGTTTTGATGCTAACAGCAGCAGCGCGTAGGTCAGAGTAAAGAATCCAGGCTGAATCGACTTGTCTAACAAGATCAGCCTCCTTTTAAATTTCTGCATCTGTGGAAAGTACCTGTACTTACCTGAAAAGTACACGATACATTTTAAACCAGTTTCTCATTTCAATCAACAACTCTATAAATAGTCGCCGATGATACACTAACTTGTTCAATTATTGCCACTGCGTCTTTCAAAGCCTCTGTCTCCTCAATCAGAGCATAAAGTTATCATTATTGCAAAATGCAGAGAAACAAGCAAAAAGCACGGTTTCAGAGGCCATTCTCTTTCAGATTATACTTCACACGGTCACAAATTTGCATTTCATCTTCATTGTTGTTGAAAAGTCAATGATCGATTTGATATTCGTATCATCTGACTTCGACGGCCAGCAATGGATGTTCGTTCGCGTTAAGAGAGACGCAGAGCTGTCAACCGATCTCTACCTTGTTGTTGGCACCCTCCACTGTAAGTGATGGAGTTCTATACGAAGACCAGAGAATGCAACCAGAGAATGGAATAAGAAAATTTATCATCTGCGGATAAGAGAGCAAAACTTGCAAACAACATCGCTCCACGGTTTCAACAGATCCCAATGATGACCGGTTATATGGAAACCGAGTGGAAGCTCTGTAAGAGCGACTTGCGAAGGATTGCCGCCAAATGCTGCGGATTCAAACAACTTAGCTTGCTGCCTGCAGATCAGAAAGAAAACCTCCTGATGGGCAAGAGAGGCACAACTGGCAGTTAAGAGGTGAAAAGAAAATCAGTCTAATGGTCTTGAAAGACAGCGCAAGACACACTCTTACTGACAGTGAGTGCATTCTTCGGCGATGGAGAGAGTACCTCGAGCAACCTCTTAACCTAGGGGGTTCCTAGGAACCTCAGCAGCCCGGTCGAAGCACCTCTGACCATATATTTGCCTTTCGCAAGATTGTTGAGAAATGGTGGGAGTACGCCCATCCGGTCTACATGTGTTTTGTGGACCTAGAAAAGCTCATGACCGGATCCCATGCACCATTCTGTGATCATGACTTCGAGCATACGGGATAGATGGTCAGCTGCTAAGGGCCATCCAATCACTGTATTCTGATAGCAGCTGCTGCGCCAGAGAAATGGGGTGAGTCAAAACCATTCAACGTTCGCACTGGTCTCCGCCAAGGCTGCGTCCTGTCCCCTCTCTTGTTTATCTTGTACATGGATAGAATACTTTGGAACATCCAAGGCGATGAGGGTATCGGTATAGGAGATGTTAAGTCGAGAAGGTTGCTGTTTGCAGACGATTAGCATCTTCTGAAGCTGATCTTCAGTGCGCCTTATAAAGAGGGGGGATGGGTGGGAGCAGCCGAATGCGACTTGACCGGCATACAGGTGAACGCATCTAAAACGAAAAGCCTAGTGCTTTCTCGTTCTCCTGCCCGTTGCTCTCTTCAGATTA